CGGACCGAGATCGCCGAGGCCGCGAGGGCCTCGGACCCGCCCGGCCCTCTGGTGTCCCGCGCCTGCCTTCGATCGTCCGCCTGGGCCTGGGCCTGGGCCCGGCCCCGGGTTCCGGCCGAGGAAAGGGGAAGGGGAGCGGAGGGGAGAGGGGGCGCCGGGGAGGGGAGGGTGGAGAAGGGGAGGGGGCTCCCACGCCCGCCCCACCTTGGGCTGGGCGGCCCGCGGCCCACGCGAGGACTTAACCCTCCATCCCGCGTGACTGCTGGCTAAGTAGAAATTCCAGAGGCTTCCGCCGATGCCCAGGGCCTCCTTCGTTGAATATGAGTTTCGGGGACACCCACGATAATATGGTCACTGTTGATCGGACCGGAGAATACTATAGATCGTGGTCGGCAAACTGGGATATCTTTATGCATCGAGATTTACCTTTTAAATGATCTATTTGCAAGTACTTAGTCTGAGGCAGCCTACGTGAGCCGAAGCACTTTTTTGGCTTGTGTGTGGATGGAACTTGTTAGAATTCTAACCCTGCAAAGCATCAGATAGATGGCTTTTCCTTTCAGACCCTGTGGTTACTTAGTAAACCAGCGGGCATTTTTTTTTGCCAGTCCTGGGGCTTGAACTCAGGGCCTGGGCACTGTCCCTGAGCTTCTTTTGCTCAGAGCTAGCACTCTCCGGCGACACTTCTGGATTTTTCTGTTTATGTGGTACTGAAGAATCGAACCCAACACTTCATGCTTGCTAGGCAAGCACTCTACCCACTGAGCCACAATCCCAGGCCCCATTTTTTTTTTTTAAACAAAACAATTCCTTTTGGTGGCCTTTTGCACAGGTCACTAGGAGTTAATTTGCAGAACCCAGAATCTTGTCCAGCTTTTGGTATGTGTCAAGATAAAGTGATCACAATTTAGTTACAACACTAACTAGATAGGAGAAAGAGAGAGCTTGTGTGATTAAACTGGATTTATTCTTGAGTAACCAGGCATTTCTAAATAAAACCAGTTTACTAAGAACTTGTAAACCTCTAACCCTGCTTAAAAAAATAAAAACACAACAAACTAACACGAAAAAACAAAACCGGGCTGGGAACGTGGCTTAGTTGTAGAGTGTTTGCCTAGCATGCATGAAGCCCTGGGTTTGATTCCTCAGTACTACATAAACGGAAAAAGCCAGAAGTGGTACTGTGACTCATGGACAGTGCCAGGCCCCGAGTTCTTTAGTATTGAGTGAGCAATCTTGGTTTCTAAGCCATACTGAAAGTCTTTTTTTTTTTTAAGATTTAATTTCATGTTTCAAGGAGCTAAATCTGCCAAATTAAGTATAGAAAAAGGAACGAATAACCTTTTGTATATGCTTTCCAGTTGCTTTTAAATGAGAACTTCAGATTTCTTTTTGGGGGCCAGGGAGTTAAGATTTCCTGGCTGGAGGGTGGAGTTTTTAGTATTGAACTCTGGATTTCCTGCTTGCTAGGCAGGCATTCTATAAGCCCCGCCCCAGTCGTGGAAGTTCAGCTCTTGTAACATATAATGGTGTTTTTGGTTTAGTTGGACTTTGTTTCATTTTGATACTTTAAAACTATGAATGGATGAGCTGGCCAGAGTAGAGAAGGAAAATAAAAAATGTGCTGGGTTTGAATTGGGTACCAACAAAACAAGGTACAGCAGAAGCTACCATTACCATGAGAGGGGAGGCCCTGGCAGGGTGGAAATGGGAGCAAGACAATATACTTTTAAAATATTTTGTAGTGCATTGAAAATAATGGTGAAGGTATGTTTTCTTATATTATCACCTCCAATTAGAAACATTGTTACTGATAAAACATTCTCTTTTCCATGCTCAGTTTACACTGCTGCCTTTGAGAAATGGAATTTGACTAACAGTGTATCGTAGGCTAATTCTGTTTAATGTTGCAGTGTTTTCTTGAATCCAAATGGTTACAATTATAGTGTGATTTTCCAGTGTTTGTAAAAAGTTGTTTCTCAGCTTAAAAAAATTGTTATTATAAAGGTGATATATTTGTGGAATAAAATAATGGCTTTAGCATTGTTAAATTAATCTTAACAGGAAATTGATTGTATGGCTTTCAATGATGCCAAATCCTGGATGGACCATGACATATACTCATTGTACATAGGTGCATATGTAGTTCTCAGATAAGATCTTGAAATCTTTGTGGAGTAGATTGTTAGAGTACTACATAGAATCACTTTTCAGGTGTATCTGGTTTATATTATTGCATATATAATTTATGTGCCTTCCTCTTTGTTATTCAGTAGAAATTAGTGCTAGGTCCTCTTTTTTGGATGTTATGTCAGGTGTTATAAAGTAAATAATTAATTAATTTATTTTTGGTGCCAGTCCTGGGGCTTGAACTCAAGGGCCTGGGTGCTGTCCCTAAGCTTCTTGCTCAAAGCTAGTGTGCTACCACTTGAGTTACAGAACCACTTCTGGCTTTTTCTGAGTAGTTCATTGGAGATAACAGTTAAATGGGGACTTTTCTGCCCAGGCTAACTTTGGATCTTGATCCTTAGATCTCAGCCTCAACTCCTGGCTAATTATTTTTATGTATGTGTGTATCTATGGGTCCTGGAGCTTGAACGCAGGGCCTGTGTGCTGTTCCTAAGCCTCTTTTGCTCAAAGCTAGTGCTCTACCACTTGAGCCATAGCACCACTTCTGGCTTTTTCTGAGTAGTTTATTTGACATAAATGTTAAACGGGGACTTTTATGCCCAGGCTAACTTTGACTCTTGATCCTCAAATCTCAGCCTCAGCTCCAGGCTGTTTTTGTTTATGTGTGTATGTACTAATCCTGGGGTTTGAACTCAGGGCGTAGGCACTGTTCTTGAGCTTTTTTGCTAAAGGCTAGAGCTCTATCACTTGAGCCAAAGTACCGTTTCTGGCTTTTTTTTTTTTTTTTAATATTGGAGATAGGAGTCAGACTTTTCTGCCTAGGCTGGCTTTGAACTGTGATCACAGCCTACTGAGTAGCTGGGATTATAGGCATGAGCCACCAGTCTCAGGCTTACAAACTTATTTTTTATATTGCTATAATTTGGATAATGAATTTGCCATTAGGGAGTTAGTGAAGGAGATATGTATGTTTTCCCAGTTGGATGCCAATGGGTATTGGTACCCACTATTATTTGTACCTCAATTTTGCAGATAATGGAGTATGACATTTTAAAATTGTGTTTTTTTTTAAATAGATAGGTATATAATTTTGGTTGTTTGCTAATTTTGCTAATATTGTACTAATTGTCTGTTAAATGTGTCTTCATAGATTATACACACTCTGCTTGCAGGAATACTTATCAGGGCTTTAATGGTGAGTATTTTTTTATTTTTATTTTTTATTTGCCCATATTTCGGGGAGGAATGTATTCTAATTTTTCTCTTCATATACATACACCTGAAGTATCATTGTAAAAAGCCATCCCCATCTTATTTCAAACATTGGTTTGGCTCTTGATTTATCACTTCTCAATATTAATATTGTTATACTCTACGCTGTGTTTTGTTGTTTGCAGTGCTGGAACTTACTAGGGACTTTAGGGATGCTACATAAGCGTTCAATCTTTGAACTATATCCCTAGCCACCTCTGAGCTACATCCCTAGCCTCTATATCTGATATTTTAATTGGGCATTTGGATTAGTAAAAGTTAGGATTATTCAGATTGCTTTGATATTTTGACATATTTTTGCTAATGATTCTTTTAATTTATTCCAAAGGACCTGACATCATTGAGTGATTAATTAGAAAACAGTGGCTGAATTCTTTTTCTTTTTCTTTCTTTTTTTTTTTTTGAATCAGAGACTTTGGTATTTAGTATCTTGGATTAAGTTGATCATTGCCTTGGTACTAAACAAATTCTCTTACAATGCTTGTGAGTGTGTGTGTGTAGTCACTTGTGCTCACATACATGCACAGGTTTTAAACTCAAGGTCTGTATGCTTCTTCCCCCTCCTCCCCTGCCTCCCCTCCCTTCTTTTTTGTTAGTTCTGGGGCTTGAATACAGGATGTGGGTACTGGCCCTGAGTTATTTTGCTAAAGGCTAGCACTCTACCACTTTGAGCCACAGAGCCACTTCTGGTTTTCTGGTAATTAATTGGGGATACGAGTCTCACTTCCTGTCCAGGCTTGATGTTAAACCATGATCCTCAGATCTCAGTCTCCTGAGTAGTTAGGATTACATGTGGGCAACACAGGTGGCTAGGCTATTAGAATGCATTTTGACCTTGTTTTAGAGATTGTTTTTCTTAGTATGTTCAAGTGTGTTGATATACAAAGAGCTTCTTAGAGGAGCACATAAAGAAGCATGATAGATATTAGGCTTGTGACTGCTGAGCTAGATAAAATGATGAGAGATGTGCAGAATACAATTGCATGTTATTTAAATAGTTATTAGAATTAAATCCTTGCCAGACAAGATAATAATACAAAAAAAGAGCACTGAACATTTTCAGAAGGTTAAGAAAGCATTAAAAGAAAGATTTGAAGGAGTGGCATTAATTATCCTGATTGCCAGAGAGATGTGAAACCCAGCTGTTGTACAGAGTATAATCAAAATAAAACTGAAGCAAATGTACTGCTAAAAGAAGATGGTCATCTTTTTGGAAATAATTACAATAGCCTTGATTTTTACTTACCTCTAAGAATTGAGAGATGCTTGATTTTATAGAGCTTGTTAGGGCTCACCATGTAGGAACTCTGGTCAGTGTACAATGAACACTGGGGAGTGTATTTTTGAAGACAGTGTTTATATATATAAGATTGAAAGCTGGAGAATTAACTAGAAAGCCATTTCTTGAACTTAGTTATATGGATATTATTATGATTTGTGGACTTGGCTAACCAATAGCACTTTTTTTTTAAGCTTATGCTACTTTATTTATTTACTTATTTTTTGGGGGGGTCGTGGGGCCTGAACTCTGGGCCTGGGTGCTGTCCCTCAGCTCTTCAGCTCAAGGCTAGCACTCTACTACTTGAGCCACAGGGCCACTTCCAGCTTTTTTCTTTTTGCTTATGTGGTGCTGAGGAATC